TATAATCTTTTGAAATTTGTATTTTCCTATAAGTTAATATAGATTTTATAATATAAAAATCAATTTTTCGCAAAATCAATTTTTTGTCAATTTGGTCCCTTTCTTCAGCACCTAGCCTATTTATTTATAACTTTTTATTTTTATAACTTTGTTCTATATTTATTTCTCACAAATATTTAAGAATAAAAGAAAACGTTCAATTACACCTGATACGCAAGTTTTTACCGAAGATAATGTTCATGTGAAAAAAGCAAGGTTATTAGTTATGCATTTATAAATAGATTGATTGCTGTATAATTGTAATTAATATATGGTATTGTAATTTAGCAAAGAGGTTCCAATAATAAAAACGATGAAACCCGAACAGAATTAATAGATTCTGTAGAAGAGGATGAGGAGTCAGAAAAGGTTGATGAACTAGTCAAAATTGATGATATTGCAAAGATCGAAGAGCAACTAAAAAAGAAACTTCGTAATGAGGTAAATAAAGAAGGAAAAACCTTTTAATTTGGATTCTAAATTAAATATTATTATTATTTTAGTGGTATGTAGGAAATATTAATATAACTAAAAAATTTCGCCAATATCAATTGCACTCTATTGATAAAGCGAAGAAAGGTTTAAAATGGAATGATACCTATGAAATATTGTAAGTAATGAAAGTAGAAATTCAAAAGAAAAGATATTTTTGATTTAACTTTTATTTTTTTTTTTTTTTTCAATTAGAGCATTGGCGTCCATAATTGTTCTTTCATCTCCATGCCCATACCCGTATGAATATTTTACTTTCAATGAATGGAATCTTATAACGGAAACTAACCCGTATAAGATTGATGGAACTGTAATACCACCATCTGTTTCAACAAGTCTACATGAAGCAGCAAAAAATGTTATGCTTGGAAAAAATGTATACATGAACGCAGAAGAATCATTTATAGAACAGTCAGCTGCTAAAACTTTTAATGATTTTAAGTTAATTTACTTTGATTATCTAAATTATAATATTTCTTGTCATAGGTCATATATATTAAATGATATAGTAAAAAAAAAAAGATTATAAGTTATATCAATATTCATTATGATCTATGACAGGTTATAGAGATCATTGGCCAATATTGATTTATTTTGTATTTATTAATATTTTCATATAAGACTAATCTAATCCTTTTAACATATTTAGATGCGATGTTCCAATAAATGCACCTAATAA